AAAAAAACCCAAACAAACGAACCAAAAAAACACTTGTTCTTTCTAACTCAGTTTGTACAGGAAATTGGCTGAGCAATCTTATATAGTTATCCAAACAATATCCCGTGCCATTGAGTTCCTTCTAACTCATAGTGACCCTGCAAGACGGGGTAGAGCTGCTCCTACGGGTTTCAGAGACTGGAACTCTTCTGATTTCAAACTGCTGCTGACCTTGTGGTTAGCAGCTCCACCACCTGGGTTCTTTAATCCTTTAATGAATATTAAAAATACCTTGCAGTAGCAACAACATCATGGAAATACTTCTGTAAATAAGTATATGCATCTTATACCTACAAAGGGGAATTGTCATTTTACTATAAACTTAACTCCTCAAGTTGCGTTTTCTCCAGAATTAGTCTGTTTATTCTCTTCTGACTTGCTTTGGCTCTTTGGGTCACAGTTTTGCCCCTTGTGATTTATGACGTTTTGAATGAAGCCGCCATGGCTACATCACTGCATCGTTCAAAGCGCCTAAAATGCCCTGCTTTGGAGAACCTTACGTTCTGTTTTGTGTGTGCTTGTATTGCTACTTTTTACTTAGAATTTTGTTTTCTAAACAAATCAGTCATATTTTCTTGAAATACGTGTTTATTACTTTTGTTTTCCACTTACTGTCAGACTCCTAAGACTTTACATCATCTTTTATTATGTTTAATGTTTGCAGGTAGTTGAATTAAAATTTGGTGGAAAAGATATTCCTGTCACAAGTGCTAACCGGATTGCATATATCCATCTTGTAGCCGACTACAGACTAAACAAACAAATCCGCCAGCATTGTCTGGCTTTCAGACAGGGTCTGGCCAATGTCGTTAGTCTTGAATGGCTCCGAATGTTCGACCAGCAAGAAATTCAGGTATAGTACTTACTGGCACCTTTGGAGAAGCAGCTGGTTTACAAAAATGAAAAGACTTTCTTCACATCTACCTCAAATGTTATGATCTGGACTGTTTCCTCCCCCCAGGTGTTAATTTCTGGAGCACAAGTTCCCATAAGTCTAGAGGACCTGAAATCATTTACAAACTATTCAGGTATGTGCTCATTTTGTTTTTAGTTGCCATCAAGTCTGCTCTGACTAATGCTGACTATTTCTTTTACTCCTGAAAAATATTGCCGATGACCGCATTTCCCAAATAAATTTAATTTTACTTTTCCTGTGGGTAGTTCATTTACATGATTCAGAAATCGAG